TATGAAAATAATGGATTACAAAGAAAACAAAATTTACGTGGAAAGCCAAATTCGGGAAAACCACAGGTAGAGGAGGGACAATTCACCATAATCAATAGCAAGGAGTTACAAAAGATTTCTTTGAACTAATAACTAATTGGACAATTCGTCAATTTCAATACGTGTGGTACATTTATAAATTATAGCCAAAGAATCCCTTAGCATACCAGGAGAATAAATACATGGAGAGTTTAATATAAGGAGAAGTCCCAATACAATAGGTAAAAACCAATAATGGAGAATTTGGGTTAAAATATGTGTCAAATTCACATTGGACTCCTTCAAGCCTACTACCAACTCCCAATACTAATCCAATTGTATTTCTAATCAAATACTCAACAAGAATTCAGATCACAACCCAATTCTAATAGATCCTACATGCTTTTGTTGATGCTCTCAAGCCCAACAAATCTCAAAAAACAGGAAACTAATATGCACACAAAATTAAACTAAATAATGTGAACTAAAAGCAAATAAAATATGATTAACAAACAATGAAATTGTATTCACATAGCAATAAATAGAGTTGCTTCTAATATAGAACATGTTATATAGTGAAATCAAAGTATACTTCTTCTACTTCAGTAACAACTTCTTCACGTGTACTCTTCTTCAAAGAGGCAAACCTTTCACGTGCCTGGCAATTGTACAATAACCGAGAAGTTAAAACTTGAATGATTATTAGTGATGCACCATGCATGTATAAGCAAAAGGATCTAAATATAATACAAGTTTCCAGAATCTGGTATAACTGAAGGTGAAAATCTTATATTTGACAGCATGAAGCAGGTAGGGCAATGATCTGTTCCGCACCCCACCCCACCCCACCCCCCTCCCCATATATTATGATATTCTGGGTCTTGATTCCAATTGTAACACCTAACATTAATGTATAGTGAATGTTCTGGACAAGGTATAATACTGGGGAGTCTAATTTCTCTAATTCTTTTGCAGGGAACAAAGGCTATCGCCACACTTACTATGAAAACGAAACCAAAAGGAAAAACCAGTTTCTTCCTTCAACACCATCCTATACCTATATGGAAATTCCATGGCTATCCCATCCTATCAGACAAAATCATTGGTCCAGAAAGCCCCTAAGCTCCTCAGAAAAATGTTCAACGGAAACTATAGACCATTCTTTACTACTGCATGCAATGGTGACATACTTTTACAGTAGATATTAATCCGTTCTGTCAAATGTCAGTCCTGTTACTTTCTCAATGATGATAATAATGATATAATAGTTCCTTTTAGGGAATAGTGTGAGCCTATTGGTTATACTAGATGATCACTGGAACTAAACACCTCAAAGTAATATCCTTAAGCTCATGCTGCTTCTCAGCATACACTTCGAATATAATAGTTTTTGTTGCTTGTGATGACACTAGTCGTTGAAAGAAATGGGGAATAGATCAACATGTATATGATATCGTCATTCTATTGCCTATATTTTATTACTGCAAGGACAAATGCATGGAACCCAGAAGTCTTTTTTTTTGAAAAATCATCAGTACCTGATCATATGCATATGTAGCCTTGTCAAATCGGCGACGGCACTCCTGCAGAAGTACATTAAGATCAATTGGCTGAAACCAATGGAGGAGAAGATCAAAGAGGGCATCAAAAAAATTTCAACATCAGCTCAATCAAAACTTTTTGTCGCTTCAAAGTTAGTCTTCCTTCTAAATTTAAAAATCTTCTCGTTACAGGTTTTTACACTGTTCATTTTTTATTCTGCCAGCTAGGAATTTTGGACAAGCAGAGGATAAGCTGGAGAGGTATGTCAAGGGGTGTGTATTCTAAGCTCCCGTTTGCCCCCCTCTTTCAATTTTTTCTTCTCATTCTTACTTTCAACCACACAATCTTCCATAAAATAATATTACGCGTAAAACGAAAACTTTTCCTTCTTTTCAACCACACATTCTCCAACAAAAACACTATTCCAAACATTAAAATTTGGAAGGGGGGGGGGATGGAGGCTAAATACATTTAAGGAAATGTAACTTTCAAAAGAAAAGAATGAAACTTTTGAAAGTAGAGGCTGACTTAAGGTCAAGTAGGGAATTAAAAGTGGAAAATGACAGAGAGATCACACCAACAATTCCTCAAGTAACCACTGTCACTGTTCAGTTTTTTTTTTTTTTTTAATAGATCTCTGTCACTGTTTGGTTACCTGTAATTAGCTCCATTTAAAACTTATTTTTCTCTTGTTCAATAATTTAATTCATATTTTTCTTTTGATAATCCAATTCACATCACTAACCTACTGATAATAATTTGTTTCTCTATCATTATGACCATATTGGACTCCTAGCTTATGTTTTGAAATAATTGTTAAAGAATGAAACAGAAATATATTATTCAGCATGCCCTAACCCCGTAGTGTCCTACTATAGAAAAAAATGTCATTTTGGATGTCAACAACTCTTCATGTTCATGTCCATGTCCACGTGCTTAGGTCATAGGCATTAGAGAGAGCCAAACCCCATCAAGATTAAGCCTCCATTAGGTAACAAGGACTATAACTAAGAGTCAGAAACATAATAAGACTTGAAAAGACTTTTTTTTAAATCAAATTTCGGTTATAGAAAAGATAAAACAGAGTGAAATGTTCAATGAGAACCAAATCGAAAATAGAAATGATAAAGATTAAAAGTGGCCAAATGACTAAGCTGTGAAATTTTCCAATGGATTAGATGTGGAGAATAATCCAGATTCTACATTTTGACCGCCATTCTTAAATTATTGAAGCTCTAGTGGACCGCATCAAGGTGATTACCTTTGCATCTTGCAAATCGACGGACATAATTTGGGTTAATTGGTCTACCAGCACATGCTCAACCTGTAATAACAATATTTCGTCATATTTCAATATAAATAGTGCCTCTCAAGAGAGTGATCAACTAGAATAATAACTATGATGCTCATTAATCTTCCATATACAGCCTTGCAAGGGAAAGGATGTGCCTCTCAAACAACTTGAGAAAGAGAAAAGAATTGAGCTTAGAGTTGCTTAGCTTAAACAGGATCTTGGTTGGCATTTACCATTTTATCATAACTTTACAGTCAATACTTCCCTTTGGTGTTTCAAAAATCAGCCACTTACTGGCACAGAGCAGATCAAAATGTCAAACCAATAAAAAACTTCTGGCCAAAGCCACTGGAAGGTAGAAATTCACGCATAAATTGAAGAGACAAAACACCACATAGGCTGGTGATGCCATCTCTCAAATGCTAAACAAAGTGCACCGATTTTCTAGAATTGAAAATGGCGTCTTTCAGTTTTTAATGTAGCATGAATGACCTTTCACATAGAAATAAAACTGATACACTTACTTGAGATCGAAGAAATTCCTTGTATGTAGCTAGCTCACGCAGTGCATTATTGAATTTCGTTATGATTGGGCCTGTGGCGAGGGAAGCAAACAAAAACGAGAATGAACAATAACTCTTCCATAATGGATATATCATTCAAACACCTTGACTGACGAAGTCCATATTATGGCACGCAAGTAAACAAAAACAAGAATGAACAATAACTCTTCCATAATGGATATATCATTCAAACACCTTGACTGACGAAGTCCATATTATGGCACGCAAGTAAACAAAAACAAGAATGAACAATAACTCTTCCATAATGGATATATCATTCACACACCTCGACTGATGAAGTCCATATTACGGTACCACAATTTTCAGCAACACTAGAAAATCAATTCTACACCAATTAAGAAATGGTGCTACTTAAAGAGTAAAAGGAACAGATGTCATTAGATCTAACTAGCCAAAAAAATAATTGATATTCACCCAAACACTAATCTGTTCCTAAAGACAACGTAAAAGTAGTAAAATTATTTCAAAACTAGCACTCATCCTAAAACTGCAAGTTGATGGGGTTTCAGTTCATATTCATAACTGCATGGTCTAATCCACCAAAATATAGTCTCCCTTGTTCAACTGTTATGTCACTGATATATGAATATGTTCAGGGAACTTTCATTTAGCTATCCAATTTAAGGTACCTCCTATGGACACGCTGATAGGATCATCTAGACCACCACCAAATGCTTCTAATGATTCCGCGAAGACAATATCACCATTATATGATTCTCCAAGCGCCTCCCTGGAATCACAAATCAGTTGAATCAGGTACAATTTATGTCAGTTAGCAATGTCTTAGAAGAAAGTATCCATTCTGTATCCAATGTTTGTGGAAAAACACCACAAACACAGTAAAATTCACCCAAGTGAGATTAAATCCCAAAGAAACAAGTTCTAGTAACCAGAAATGACACGTAGTAGCAGCTAAAAGAACACTCGTTTACATGTTCTTGCACGGACACTTTGATACAAATTCAAACCCATTGAAATGGTACTACTATGTAATTCAAGAAACAGCATTTTTTATTTGTTGAAACCTTGATAACTAAAAGGTTCAACCTTTTTTTCTAGATCTATACATACTCATAATTATATTAAGTATATAAATTTAACACTTACACGAACTTCTTACAGCCTTTGTATAGTTGCTGACATCGATCTCGTAGTTCATCAGTCGTCTGTTCCAGAGATCGCACCTAAATATCCATTCAACAAATCACAACACAAAAGTCACAATACAAAACACAAAGTAAATTCAAATGTAACCCAAAAAATAAAAAATAAAAATAGAGAACGAATGGTCTTGCTTAACCTGTTTCTGGAACATTGGCGAATCCTCGAGCTTGATAAATGCCGCCATTAATTTTGATTTTCTGTTTTCCGCTTTGCAGAATAGATTTCAGTATTGTAGATCGAGAGAAGATTTGAGGTGGAAATGGGTGGCCTTTTTGTAATTTCGTAATTAAAATGGAAGAAATGTGAGAACTAGCTGGTAAATCACTTTTTTACGCCCAGCTGTCAACTGTCTAGTGTGAAACTGATAATAAATTATTTTTGGCTTCAGCAAAAAAAACCCCCACATATTTGACAATGTGCGATATATCCCATATTTATTAAAAATTGTAGAAAACATCCCTATTTAAAATCTTTTGTGTAGAATACAACTTTTTAGAAGCAAAAAACCCGATTGTCCAATTTCGTTAGTTTAACGATTACAAATAGTAAAACTTGCAGAATTGAAAATGAATAATTGTAATTACAATCTCAAACTTTTTTATTTTTTTATTAACCATACCCAATTTTTTCTATGCCCTTGTTTGAATTCCATTCTTTTGGAAAAATTCATTTTTCAATTATGTTTTGATATCATTTCAACCACACATTCTTTAATAAAATAATATTACACGTAAATCTAAAAATTTTCTTTATTTTTTAACGACACATTTTCCATTAATGCACTTTTCAAAAATTCATTTTTCCCAAAAAAATGGGGCTTGAACAAGGGCTATACTTCCTAGTTACAATCTCGAACCTTTAAAACTTTATTTTCCTTCCTACCACTGCCCACTTATCTTCCTCCCACCTTCAACCATACCCATATAAAAAAGAGTGATGTACATGTACACTTTCCCCGAACATAATGTAATCCATCATGTACACAAAAGTGTACAAGTAAATTATAATCCTATAAAAAAGGATGTTTGCAGTGCGTTTTCTTCCTATTACTCTCTCCTTCTCTCTGGTTAATCTCACAAACCCACGTATAAGTTATCATATGTGAATCCCCCTCTATACGAGAGAATATAACTCATTGTGTACTCGAAAAGTGTACAAGCAGAATAATCCTATAAAAAGGATGCTTGCAGTGCGTTTTTCCTCTATTACTCTCTTTTGCTCTCTGACTAATCTCACATACCGTTATCTCTACTTTCTCACAAACACTCATCGGCAGCGAGAGAGAGAGGTTTCAAAAATTAACTGTCAAGTGTAATTAAACTACAAAAAATTTACAAATCCAGAATTGTAGAATCCCACCATCCCTCTCAAATTATTAAGATTTGCAAAATCCAGATACACACAAAATTCAGAGTCGCATAACATACCACATAAAAATAAAACCAAGACAAAGTTCAAGAAAATACGCAATTTATATCCACATTTTGATATTTTTCTATGCCCATAAATTCAATTTTCACAAAACCAGTGTGAACGGATGGATGTCAACAACTTGGTGGCGGACGGATGGCTGGACCCTCTGCCAGGGTTGAGTGGTGGTGATGTTGATGATGGTCGTGGAATTTCTAGCTCCAGCTTTAAGTCCTCATTGTGGAATCATTTATAGAGTTGCGTCTATGTTGTTCTATGTTTGTGTGCATGTAGTCAATTAGCCCTTTTCATTTTTCATTGAATTGCTAAGGTTGTGATTGGTTTAATTTTCCATTTTCCATTTTCGGTTTCAAAACGATTTTTAATTTTCCTCGAAAACGGTGTGTTTTGGGAGTTTTCCGTGTTTTGGGAATTTATAACCGAAAACGGTCAAAATGATAAAAAGTCATTTTGCGTTTTCAGTTATAAATTTTAACTCGTTTTCGAAAATGCATTTTCGAAAACGGAAAATGGCCTGAAAACACCAAATTTTCGAAAACGGAAAATGGCCTGAAAACACCAAACCAACCACAGCCTAAACTTTTCTTCATCCCACCTCCCTTAGCCACCCAACCGAGCCCTTGTCTATTTGCCTATAAACCTCTTCAACGAATCTAAAGGCTCACGTGATTGCAAAGATGAAATTTGGGTGGAAAGAAAATGAATTGAATTGAATTGCCTATAATTTATTTTAGTGGGAATTATCAATTAATAATATTTGATTGGTATAATTTTTCACCTGAAAATGTTAAAATATAAGTGTCTTTTGGTATTCGTTTGACTTTATTTTTCATGAAAATTGTCATTTTAAGGGATATCCACTTCTATAATTATTCCTAGAATTTGTTCTCATTGCAAAAAAAAAAAAAAAAAAC